ACACAACCAGCGAATGGGAATCCAAGGAAATACCAAGCAATACATCCTCCGCCGACCAAACTGAGGTAGCTGAGAGTTCCAGCTTGCAGGTAATTGCTCCCAGTACACCCCCAATGTCCGGCACCCCTCCGCCTACAGGCACTGGGGCAGGACACGACGACGGGGCCACCACTATTGCCTTATGTTGATGCGGATTGGATACCCTACGGTCCTCGTCATCGCCGACACAGCCACGGCCATTCGACCATGGAGGAGAGAGCCAAGGCCAATGAGACATGGCCCTCCCCTCAGAGGAAGCACCCGAAATACTGAGTCCAGATAGGTTTCAACAACTAGCTGTGTTGTTTTGTACCTGTAATTGTTTTGTAGCTGTAATTAGGTGCTTCATGAGGTGGTGTAGGGAAGTAGATGAGGCTGTTGAGTTGTTTACGAAATCGGATTTTGCACGACGCAGGAGAGTGGTAACACAGCTTCTTTGGCCAGTAAACGTTTTACAGTGAAGGTATATCCTGTGTTTTCTGTGCCAAAGCCTTTGACTGAGTATGGCATCAGGGCCTCACTCTCCCTCATTTACAAAACATATATCCTTCCTATAATTGAATATGCATGCATTGCTGTCACCCCGCCTTCAATCACAGCCCTGGACCGTCTTGAGCGAATCCAGCGCAAGGCGGCCAGAATTTGCCTCTGCCCCCCCCCTCTCTACACCTCTCTGAATCATTCAACACTGTTCCATCGGCTCAAATGGCCGACGATGTTCTCTCGCCGCAAAGTGAAGCTCACCCCTCTTGCTCACTCCATAAAATACCAATATGCCCCACAACACATACGCATGCTCAACACCCAGCTCAAGTAACGACCCAGTGTAGCCTTCGACACGCACGCACTTGGCACCCCCCACCCAGCAGAACCGATCGCTGTAAAGACTCCCCACTGTACAAGTCCCTAGAATACTACAATGCCCTCCCTGCTAGCATTCGTGGCGTCTCCTCCCGACCTGCTTTCAAACAAAAAATCTGCTCACTGCTGATTAACTCAATCTGCACCTGCAGCGCTCACCCTCTCCCATACTTGTAAAATTCAAAGTGATGTAAATCGCCTTCCAACTGCATAACCCACAGCCCCACCCACAGCATCTCACCTTCTCATAAACTTATCTCTTATTGGCGATGGTGCCATCATGAGAATAAAGATTAAAAACAACAACAACAACAACAACAACAACAACAACAACAACAACAACAACTGCCTATAATTGAATATGCATGCATTGCTGTCACCCCGCTCTCAATCGCAGCCCTTGACCGACTTGAGCGAATCCAGCGCAAGGCGGCCAGAATCTGCCTCCGTCTCCCCCTCTACACTCCTCTGGATCATTCAACACTGCTCCGTCGGCTCAAATGGCCGACAATGTTCTCTCGCCGCAAAGTGAAGCTCACCCTTCTTGCTCACTCCATAAAATACCAATATGCCCCACAACACATACGCTTGCTCAACACCCCCGCTCAAGTTACGGCCCAGTACAGCCTTCGACACGCACGCACTTGGCACCTCCCACCCTCCAGAACCGATCGCTGTAAAGACTCCCCACTGTACAAGTCCCTAGAATACTACAATGCCCTCTCTGCTAGCATTCGTGACGTCTCCTCCCGGCCTGCTTTCAAACAAGAAATCTGCTCACTGCTGATTAACTCAATCTGCTCCTGCAGCGCTCACCCTCTGCCATACTTGTAAAGTTCAAAGTGATGTAAATCACTTTCCAACTGTTTAACCCACAATCTCACCTTCTCATAAATTTATCTCTTATTGGCGATGGTGCCATCGTGAGAATAAAGAATTCAAATTCAAAATTCAAACAACAACAACAACGACAACAACAACAACAACAACAACAACAACGACGACGACGACGACGACGACGACGACGACGACGACGACGACGACGACGACGACGACGACGACGACGACGACGACGACGACGACGACGACGACGACGACGACGACGACGACAACAACAACAACAACAACAACAACAACAACAACAACAACAACAACAACAACAACAACAACAACAACAACAACAACAACAACAACAACAACAACAACAGCGCTCACCCTCTCCCATACTTGTAAAGTTCAAAGTGATGTAAATCACTTTCCAACTGGTTAACCCACAATCTCACCTTCTCATCAATTTATCTCTTATTGGCGATGGTGCCATCGTGAGAATAAAGAATTCAAATTCACAAAAAAACAACAACAACAACAACAACAACAACAACAACAACAACAACAACAACAACAACAACAACAACAACAACAACAACAACAACAACAACAACAACAACAACAACAACAACAACAACAACAACAACAACAACAACAACAACAACAACAACAACAACAACAACAACAACAGCAACAGCAACAGCAAATGCAGCAGCCACAGCAACAGCAATAGGAACAACAAATGAGTAGGAGTAGGAAGCAGATTTTGGTGCTCCGAGTTTTTCCTTAGATTTCTGCGGATTGAGGCTTACCCGGGTACCAGACCCCAACCATGGGCGCAACATTAGTACTGCTGCCCGTAATGGCGAGCCACGGTGGAAATCACTTATCCGAGAGGACATGAAGGCCAACACCATAGTTTCCACCAGTCACGCCGGTATCAAGACAGTGGATGTTGCCGAGGCCCTTGTAACCCAAGGGTACACGGATGCCGCCTCCGTCCAGATCACAGCTTGCTCTGTGAAATGAAGAATTCGTTGAGGGTAGCGGCTTTTTGTGCTGGTGTCGTTGCAGGAGTTGCTTGGCTCACTAGTTCGGGTATGCGTTGTTTTGTAGCTGTAGTTAGGTGCTTCATGAGGCAGTGTAGGGAAGTAGAGGAGGCTGTTGAGTTGTTTACAAAATCGGATTTTGCACGATGCAGGAGAGTGGTAACATGGTTTCTTTGGCCAGAGAACGTTTTCTAGTCGTCGGGTGAGCGTGAATGAAGGTGTATTCTGTATTTTCTGTGCTTATCCTTGATCTTTTTCAAGCGGCCCTTTGATATTCATGGTAATGCTGGCACGTCCCCTTTGTCCGAAGGGGGGGGGGGGTGAGTGCATGTAACTTGGCAGTGTTCTTGGGCGATGGTCAGGACTTTGTCGCGCCAGGATTGCCAGAATGAGTCAACTGGGCATGGGTCATGTTGGTTTAGGGTGGTGGTTGAGATCTGTGCATGAAAGGGCTGCTGGAAGAAGGTGGATAGTGCTGTCTGCCGATGACTAGAATGTGGTTCTTCCGGATCGTGAAGGGGAGTTATGGGGGCAGTTGAATATCGATGTGGCCACTGATAGTAGTTTGGTCGGATGTGCCAAACGGTGGAAGTGATTGGATATGAACATCATTGCTGTGAAATCAGGCACGTTAAATTAGGGTGCAAAATCCTGCATTCTGGGCACTTTCGGCATTGTTTTACGATGGTGGTCGTGGTCGGGCGAAAAGGTGGTCTGGCCAAAGCCGGACCGGCCGGAGCGTCTTCTACGCCCCTGGAAATGAGGAGATAACAAGGTCTAGGCATGAGAGAGGTGTTTGTCGGTGAACCTGACATGTTGTGTGAGGCCGTATCTGTGCAGAAGAGTTTGTGTGTCGACCCCAAGGTGATCTGTTCTGTCTGTGGTGAGCCACTCACTGTTCTTGGCATTGAAGTCTCCAAGTAGTAGGACATAGTCACCTCCGGTTCTAGCTGGTTTAAAGTTGCTTTCCAGCTCTGCACAAAAGAGGGTGCCATCGCTACGGGGGGGGGGGGGGCGGTTAATGGTGGCAATAATGAGGGAAAATTCATGGGTGGAACTTCCCGTCCATACGCTGTCTGCTTCTGTCATTGGGATTTCCAGTACACTTGTGGCTAGAACATTCCGCGGTATACAAGGCAACTCCACCACCAAAGCGCTGCCTGTCAGCTGTGGTCAGGTTGTGGCGTGGGATTGCATAGAGACTGTCAGAGTCTGATGTGTCAGCTCAGGTTTCCGGGACTGAACTGACTGATAGTTCATTGGGAGATTCAGAGTCAGACGAACCGATAAAGTACTACTACTGTGAATGAACAAATTTTGGCCGATGACAAACTTTGGCCGATCTCGAAAGGAAACTTTTGGCCGTCATTTAACTTTGGCCGATTTGGGTTTTCAAAAAAGAAATCGATTGGTATTTGTTGCCCTTACATGCAGCGATGGCTCAATAATGCATCATTTGCCTCTATGACAAATTTTGGCCTGCGATTTACTTTGGCCAGTTGGTACCCAGCGGCGAAATCAGCGAAATTAAATCGCCAGCGAAAATTAGTTGATTTACAGTAACTGGTCCAATTTGCTGAATAAGCAACGCACATTGGTACTCAGAAAGTTCAAATTCACTGACATTGGTATTTGCTTTGGAAGTTGTATGTTTTTTTGGTTATTGCGGTTGAAACTTATCTGGACTCAGTATTTCGGGTGTTTCCTCTGAGGGGAGGGCCATGTCTCATCGGCCTTGGTTTTCTCCTCCATGGTTACATGACCATGGCTGTTTCGTCGACGGCGATGAGCGCAGGGCATTCAATCCGCATCGTCAGAGGCAACAATGCAGGCCTCATCGTCAATGCCCGCCCCAATGCCTCTAGGCTGAGGGGTGGCGGACGTTGGGGACTGGGAGTGATTACCTGCAAGCTGGAACTCTCCGCTACCTCAGTTTGGTCGACAGAGGATGGGTTGTTGTTGTTCTGGTTGGCATGCCCAAAGCCAGAAACACACGCCATCACACCGATATCTGTATGAACCCTGGCTAACGCCAGACGCTAAGTATTGTCTTTTGAATAGCTTCAGGTTGAATAATTACTTGTTCGTACTTTCAAACAAGAACACGCTGTTTTCAGTAGATTCTGTTTGCTGAAAGGAGACCAATAAGTGTGCACGAAGGGAATGTGTAAAGTTCAACGGTAAGCCCTGGAATGTGTGATGTGGTATAAAGGGGCTACTTACTTAAAGCAATATACTTTTTTACATCATATCCATCTAAGATGGTGCCTTGTGAAAAATCCTTCGGGAACTTGAGAGCACACAAGCGAAGGTTGAGTGAAACTGCGCTGTGAAGAGATCTGTGCATGTATGGGACACAAAATATAATTAGAAGTTGCAAGAAACTACTCAATAGCCATGGACAGTGTAACAGTATCCACTATAACTGGCACAGTTGTCCTCCTATTATCATTATCACCTTTGATATTATCATCAAGATAGAGTTTGCTCACGTATTGCCACTGATGGCCTTGTTGTGATGCGGCATATTCTGATTGGTACATTCTGATCGTTTTTTTACTAGTGTGTTACACTGTTGTATTACATGATGCATGGAATGTTTCGGTTGCCTTTGATTTGGTCCTAACTTGCAGCTAACTTGGCATTGTTACTGTATAGCATAGTACTATGATCGATATTCTAAAAAAAGTGTTGTGTGTTTCTCTCTGTTGTTTACCTACCATCATTGTAATATTCATAATGATGCATGGCTCCACATCTTGGCTGCTGGATGCTAGCTCGGTGGGTGCCAATCTCCGGCCTTAGGGTGAGTGCTGATGGGTAAGAAGAGGGCGAAAAAAGTGTTTTCAGAACACTGTTTTCGTCCTCTCATTCTTGTTTGAACTAGCACTGCCTCTCGGTATTGAGCACTCTCTTGGACAGCCTGGAACCTCTGTTATATTCTGAAAATAATTATAGTTTTATCTAATTGTTCGCAAACTCCAATGCAGCAACTTACACATGAAATTTAGGAAACTTCACTTCTGTAAATGTTGGTTTGCGTTGCGCAAACCGTAGTTAACCTACATGTCACAGAGCCGCATATCCCGCATGGAGATGCCGTCCGCAGACACGCCAAAACCGGCTAAGTCTCATACGAGCTCCGCTAAAGTCGTACGCACTGCCGGGCTCCCGTGTGGGGCCCCACACAAGCATTTGCAACCGCGACGCACGTACGGCATGCCGTATAAGCCACCTATCAGCCTTGGGTGCAAGCTCACCCAAGGCCACCCTCGCAAGGCAGGAACAAGTAAAGACATTCACCAGTTGTTTGTTGTGCCTGCCCGCCGCAGAAATTGTTTGAAATTGTCTTCTTCCCCCCCCCCCCCCGCTCTCAGCGATAGTCTTTACACCCACCATGGCTTTCTCGGATTCACAAATGGAGTCTATCCAGCAGATCGTGGCAGCCAGCGTGGCAGCAGCCCTCAGTGGCAACGCACCGGAGAACGTCACGGAGCACCAAGAAGACGGTATGTGTGCTGATGAATTCATGCACCATACGAACATGGGTTACCCCTCCTGCATTTCACACGTCTCGGTGGAGACAGTGGATCGGATCAGACGAGTCGAGTATATAGATCTGGCAAATATATTTCTACCGGGTTCCGCATAGACGAGGAAGGGGCACTTTCGGTGACAAGCGCACCGAAAGGGAAAATTGAGAACCTCGCCACGTGGACCGAGGCATGGTCTATTTTTAGCCTGATCGCCATCCGCGATCAACCTCGCTGCGCCGCTGCACTGATGCAGCACCAAATACGCATGGTACAGGCAGCCGGGAAGTACCACTTCTCGGCAGTCGTGGACTATGACACGCGGGCACGCCAGGCCCTGTCAAAGGACCCAAGCCGATCCCTGGCGGAGCTCGACACGGAGCTTTTCGCGACGTGTTTCACGGGTCAGGCCCTTCCCAATTGCAGCATTTGCAAGAAGGTGGTGCACTTGGCCGGAGCGTGCACCTCGGCCTTTCGCGGCAAGCAGGCGAAAGAGAGTGCAAGCACTAAATCAACCGAAATCTGCCGCCGCTACAATCACGGCGCCTGCAGTGGCCCATGTCGCTTTCGACACGCCTGCCTCTTCTGCTCAGGCTCGCACGCCGTGTCAGCCTGTCCAGCCAAGAAATAAGAATGAACAGCAATCAGCCCCGGCACCACTTTCTTGCATTCACCCACCCCCTAACACCCCTATGAACATTGCTGCATTACACCCCAACACCCCTATCAATATTGATGCATTACACACTGAATTGCTGGCGCACCCTAATCCTGCATTTGTTCATTCTCTAATTAGCAATTTACGTGCCGGCTGTCGTATTGGGTTCACCGGACCCCGTGATGTGTCCGTACGCAGCCCGAACTTGTCTTCAGCGGCAGCACACCCCGAGGTCATCGACCAGTACCTGGCCACGGAATGCAGTCGCGGTCACACCGCTGGCCCCTTCAACGCGCCGCCATTCGTCCATCTGCGCACCTCTGGCGTAGGTGTGGTACCCAAGAAGTCGGGCGGCCACCGGCTCATCATGCACCTGTCCGCCCCCGATGGGAACAGAGTCAATTCGTTCATTGACAAGCAGGCCAATCGTTTCTCCCTAATTATGATTGACACGATAGCAGACCACGTGCGCAGGACGGGCCCCGGAGCCCTTCTGTCAAAGGTGGACCTGAAGCACGCTTTCCGGCTCTGCTCCGTGCACCCTGACGACTGGCCGCTCCTCGGCATGTTATGGAAGGGCAACTACTATTTCGACACTGTCCTGCCATTTGGCCTACGCTCCGCTCCCAGTCTGTTTAACTGCCTGGCTACTGCCCTAGAATGGATCCTCCGTAATAACTACAGTATCCCTGCACTGGAGCACTATTTGGATGACTTCGTATCAGTGTCTCCAGCAGCCGAGTCTGTCACGTCCTCTGCGGCCGCGACCCACAAAGCCACTATTCTGCAGGTCTTCGCAAAACTGGGTGTCCCAACAGCAGACGGCCCGGACAAAGTTGTTGGCCCCACCACCTGCCTCACAGTGCTTGGCATCGACATTGATTCAGCGGCAGGGGAGATGCGGCTCCCAGCCGAGAAGCTCCGTACATTGCGGCAACTCCTAGCAGCCTGGGCCACCCGGCCATCAGCGTCCAAACACGAACTCCAGTCCCTCGTTGGCCACCTGGCGTTCGCCGCCAAGGTCGTGCCAGCCGGTCGTACGTTCACTCGCCGCCTCATCGACCTGTGTTCCTCAGTCACCAGCCCTGCCGCGGCCGTCCGCCTCACCAGTGAGGCTCTCGCCGACATCAAATGGTTGCAGGATTTCCTCCCACTATGGAACGGAAAGGCCCTCCTACGCGACCCCGTATGGTCTAAGTCCCCGGACCTGGAATTGTTCACCGACGCGTCTGGCAGCGGTTTCGGCGGCTTTTACCAGGGTCGGTGGTTCGCGGGCACATGGTCAGCGGCGCAGCAGGCCCCACCGTACACGTCCATAATGTGGAGAGAGATGTGGCCCATCGCCATTGCCTGCAAACTCTGGGGCCCCCACTGGGCACAGAAGAAGATCCTCCTGCACTGCGATAATTCAGCAGTGTGCACCGCCTGGGAGTCCGGCACATGCCGACACGCCGGGGTCATGGCACTGATACGCAGCACCATGCAACTCACCGCTCGCCACAACTTCTGCCTGCTCGTCCGTCACATCGCCGGCGTCGACAACAGCATCGCAGACGCACTCTCCCGGGCCCAGTTCCAGCGCTTCCGCCGTCTGGTTCCCGACGCGGAGACTGCCCCATCGTCACTCGCCAGTGCCCAACCCGACAACAGATAGTCGCATCCGTCTGCCGCTGGCCAGGCGCCCCAGCCGCCAATTCAAGCTCCCAGCAATCCCAGCAATCCCAGCTACCACTGCGCGGGCTCGCCGTACGTCCGTAGTCCCCCCAGCCCAGCATCTCGCATCTCTGCTCTTTTCTTGTTGTTTTGTTTACCCTACTCTACTAACCCACCTACAATTTCCGCTGGCAATGATCCATGCCCTCGCCAGGGCGAACCCTTCTTGGTCTATCTTACCACTCTGTGTGCTTAATGGGCTTATCCGGCCCCTTAGAACCCCCCTTTTCTTTTTGGGAGGAAGGGGGGGGGGGGGCGACACCCCGCAGGCCCCGAGCCGGCGACCGCTGTACTCGGGGGCGCTCCATATGTACGCTATACGTGTGGCCCGCATGGCGCAAACAAAATACGGGCCAGGCACCGTGTTGCCATGCTACCGAGGCAAATTGTAGAGGGCGTTAAGCCTACCTAGCAGGTGTAGGTTTGCCTGTATACTAGGGGCACGGCTCCGTGAGCCTGACCTACTCGCTGTCTTGTGCTCTGCGTGTATATCCAGGCTCGCAAGCCGCGCGCATAACATCCCGCCGGATGTCCACCTCCCGCCGGAGGATCGCCTACAGACACCACCGCCGCAAGCAACGGCTCCGCGAGCCAACGCGGATCAGACTCAATGTGCTGAATTGTGCACATTTTGATCCTGGATTGGCAAGTATTGTGTACAGCAGTGCATGCGTCGGTTCAACATCGTATTTCGTTGTATACGGCGAAGTCGCTTCACAAGGAGAAAATCGACAGGGGGCGGGAATTAGAGAGGGGGCGGATCAACGGTACTTTATGGTACATGTATTCATTGCATTGCTTACAATAGAGCGAATTAAAGACTAGATGGATGAATGCATAGAGATAATTAACCCCAAATGTTCTACAATTAGGCCTGGGCAGATAATGCTAGTTATTTTGTGGGATATTGCTAATGGCAATGCCAGAAAAACTGTACCATAATGCTACTTGCTTGTTGCAAATCACACACCATAACGCTACTTATAATTCTGGCATTTTCCACCCATGCCTATCTACAATCCACAAGTCACAGTTTGTACAACAGACTATGAGTGGAAGTAAGGTCTTTGTATTAGTCAGAAGCATAACATGCCGTGTAAACAACTAATCAATGGTAAATCACACACCACGACATCCATCAGAGATAGCTAGCATACTACAGAACTTTTTAATAATACCAAGAATAGTCTTATCGGAGCAAGAACACAAGCAAATGTATGGGAAGTAAACTAATACAATACAGCGCTAGTAGGTATTGGTACCGTACGTGCGTGTTGCCTTTTGCCCAGCACTTCTTTCTTCTCCTCTTCTTTTCCTTCCTCGGCTTTTGCCGGATCTGTCTGACATGAGGCTTCAACAGCTTAGGTGTTATGGCGAGCGACTGGGATGACTGGGATGAAATGAACCCTTTTTTTATT